CTGGCATGTGTAAGGCCCTGGGTCCGATCCTTAGCACCATATATAAATAAATAAAAAGATCTACTGACAACAACAACAAAACATTTTTTAAAAGATAGTCAACCATATTAGAGTATACTCTATTATATGCTCCGAGTATACTCAAAGTATATAAAGAACTCTTACAACTGAATAAGACAATCTGGTTTTAAAATGCACACGAGATTTGAATAGACTTTTCACCAGAAGAGATACACAAATGGCAAATGAGCACACGAAAAGATTCCCAACATTATCAGTCATTTCAGAAATCTAAATTAAAACCAAAATGAGAAACTACCACATACCCACCAAAACAGTTAAAATAGAAAATTTATAAGCCTAAATATTTGTTACAATGATCAAAGAACCAGAACACTCAAACAGTCCTGGTGTAAACATATAATAATGACACAACCATTCTGGAAAACAGTTTGACAATTTCTTTAAAAATTAAATGTAAAGGCTGGGGTTGTGGCTCAGTGGCAGAGTGTTGCCTCGCATGTGTGAGGCACTGAGTTCAGTCCTAAGCACCACATAAAAATAAATAAACAAACAAACAAACAAATAAAAGTATTGTCTCCATCTACAACTAAAAAAAATATTTTTAAAAAATTAGGGCTGGAGATGTGGCTCTAGTGGTAGCACGCTCACCTAGCATGCGTGAGGCACTAGGTTTGATTCTCAGCACCACATAAAAATAAAATAAAGATATTGTGTCCACCTAAAACTAAAAGATATTTTAAAAAATTAAACATAAACTACCATGCTAGCCAGGAATTCTATACCAAGGTGACAAACCAAAAGAAATTAAAACATATGATCACATAAAAATGTGTACAGTTTTATCATTCATTACTAACAGCTAAAAACTGAAGCACTCTAAATGTCCATGAACTGGGAATGGATAAAAAAGACTAATAGGGCTGGGGTTGTAGCTCAGTGGTACAGCACTTGCCTTGCATGCATGAGGAACTGGGTTCAATCCCCAGCACCACATAAAAATAAATAAAATAAAGATACTGTGTCCATCTACAACTAAGAAAAACAATTTTAAAAAGGACTAATAAAAAGGCTGCTACTCAACAAGAGGAAGGAATGAAATACTAAAATACGTGCTAACAGAGACAAACCTCAAAAGTGTTCAGCTAAGAAGCCAAACACATAAGGATTACATATTGTAAAGTTTTATTAATTTAGAATTTCTAAAGACAGCAAACTACAGTAACATGAGTTTTATTTATTTATTGGGGGGGGGTACGAGGGATTGAACTCTGGGGCACTCGGTCACTGAGACACATCCCCAGTCCTATTTTGTTTTTTATTTAGAGACAGGGTCTCTCTGAGTTGCTTAGGGTCTCACTAAGTTGCTGAGGCTGGCTTTGAATTCACCATTCTCCTGTCTCAGCCTACAAAGCACACTAGTGATTGTCTGGGATGAGAAAGAGGAGCAAGGACTGACTACAGACAGGCAGAAGGAACTTCCTAGAAGTGAGGTGGAAATGTTCTAAACTGAATTCTGATATGGCTCAAGAACTCTCTAAATTTTCTAAGAAGGAATGAATACACTGTCATTGGAATTTTACGATATGCAAATTATATAGCTTTTCAAAATATTTTTTAAACCAAGGAAATGAATTTTCACTAAGTTCATCACATATTAGCAATTCACTATATACAATAGTAGGTAATATGTAAGAATCTGTAATCCAAAGATTCTCTTTCTGAGGTGTAGCTAAATGTCTTAGAAGGAGTGAAGTCATAGAGCTATGGGAATAATAACAAAGGTGGGATAACAAAGCCCTCAGATGTAAGAACTTGGTATTGGTATAACATTTTAAGAGTAATAGGATAATGGGTCTGGGATTATGGGTCAGGGGTAGAGTGCTTCCTAGCATGTGTGAGGCACTGGGTTCAATTCTCAGCACCACATAAAAATAAACAAGTGAGGGCTGGGGATGTGGCTCAAGCGGTAACGCGCTTGCCTGGCATGCGCGAGGCGCTGGGTTCGATCCTCAGCACCACATAAAAATAAAAATAAAGATGTTGTGTCCACTGAAAACTAAATAAATAAATAAACAAACAAACAAATGAAATAAAAATATTGTGTCCATCTAAAAATATTAAAAAGAGTAATAGGATGAAATCTTAAAGCCCAATTAGTCCACTCTCTGGCAGGCAACAGAAGTTCAAGTGCAACAGTTAGAATCCAGGAAAAAAGCTTTGCCAGCTGAACTACACCGGTCTCAGTGCTCACTATTTGATGAGATTGCCTCCAAAAAGCAAAATAAATTCAAAACAATGCAACAGACCCAAAAGCTCTGATTTGATGTTCTGTTGGCTTGCTTCCCAAGGAGTACATCCTAGTCACCACTGGTTGTCAAACAAAATTGTGTTGGTTTGACAAGTCCAGATTAATAGGAAGACTGACAAATGGGGCAATAGTCAACAAGAAAACTACAACTACACTTCAATTTCTATGAGCTAATATTCATCGAGCTCTCCCTCTTAATTATTTCTATAAGCTCATTTAGGTATAACTGCCCATTTAATCCTCCAAATATTTCTGTGAGCTGGGGAGTGCTTTTATCTCCTTTCTATAGAAAAGAAACTAAGGGACAGAGAAGTGAAGTGACTGACATAAGGATATACAGCTAATAAGTGGCAAGACTGGGAATTTAACTCCTGATTCTAACCTGAGAAACTATTAACAACCATTAACATTGCCACCCCAATTATATAACTGTCCACTAAAACTATGACCCTTTTCTGCTCAAAACTCTCCCAAAGCTCCCCTCCTAATGGCCTGCAAGGCCCTAAATGTTCTGCTTCCCATTACTTTTCTCTAATATCACCTACACTGACCCACTGAATCCCAGTACCCTGCTCTTCCTACATCACACTGGCTGCTTCTACTTTAGGACCTTTGTACTTGCTATTCCTACTGCTTGTAATAGTCTTCCTTGAGACAATGGTGGCTTGCTCTCTCATTTCCTTCAGAGTATGAACAAGTATTACCTTCTCAGAAACACCTTTCCTGACCAGTCAAAATAGTACTACTCACCCTTTCTATATTTCTTAATTATAAATACCTGGCAACGTTTATTACCTAAATACACCATCTACAACATAAGCTCCAGGAGAGCAGGGACAGCTAAGAATCTGGCTCATACTACTTGTGCCTGCACCTGACACAAAAGCAAATACTTGTTGAATGTAAAAATCCACCATATATGTTGTGGTGCACAACCCAAATATATAACTTCAGGCAGCAAATCATAACAATAAAATCTGAACCAAAAGAAAAAAAAAATGAGTCTGCAGGCTTTTTTTCTTTGGGGGTACCAGAGATTGAACTCAGGGACACTTGGCCATTGAGCCACATCCCCAAGCCCTTTTTGTTTTTTTTTTTAATTTTAGGTGGACACAATATCTTTATTTTTATGTGGTGCTAAGGATCAAACCCGTGCCTCACGCATGCCAGGTGAGCATGCTACCACTTGAGCCACATCCGGAGCCCTGGTTTTTTATTCAGAGATAGTGTCTCACTGAGTTGCTTAATGCCTTGCTTTTGCTGAGGCTGGCCTTAAACTTGAGATCCTTCTGCCTCAGCCTCCAGAGCCACAGCGCCAGCTCAGAGCAGTCTTTTCGTACACATTTATTATTTAAAATTTGATCTTCCTTAATGTATGCGTTTCTAATTGATACCTCCTTTAAAATATTAAATTTCTTTGGAATGATAGATGAATTCTATAAAAACATCTCAAGGCTGGGGTTGTGGCTCAGTGGTAAAGTGCTTGCCTCACATGTGTGAGGCACTGGGTTTGATTCTCAGCACCACATATACATAAATAAGATAAATGTCCATCAACAACAGTTGATGGAGCTGGACACAGAGGCAAACGCCTGTAAACCTAGCAGCTCAGGCAGGAGGATGGTGAATTCAAAACTAGCCTCAGTAACATAACAAAACCAGAAGCAACTTAGCAGACCTTGTCTCTTAAATAAAATATAAAAAAGGGCTGGGTATGTGGCTCATTGGTTAAGTGTCCCTGGGTTCAATCTTCAGTACCAAAAAAAAGAGTTGTTGGTAACAGTAACTGTATAAAGTATCTTGAAGAGGGAAAAAAAAATCCCAAATCTAGGAAGAGATGCTTTTCCCTCAAGGGAAATGAAATTCTTCAATACACTGGGCTGGCTTAACATTGTAAAATAAGTAATACATCAAACGTTAAGCTTCAGTGTTCAGTTTACATAACTAATTTCCTGCTACAGTTGACAAGACAGATGACCGGCCTTTAGTGTGGAAAGTTTGCCTGTTAAAAGTGAAGGAAAAAAATAAAAAATAAAAAAGTAGGTTCAGAAAACTTTATCATTTTATTTGGGTCATTTTAGAACACACTTACAGTTATGTGCTTTTCTCTTGGATAACAGAGCACTATGACCTAAGACACACTGATAGCTCTTCCTAAATAATTTCAGTGCTCCCTAGGGAAGAAAAAATAAGGGGAGGAGAAAGCACGGAAAAGAACAAACTATTCCCCCAAAGGGCAGGTTCTGTAGTAAGGCAAACCACTTTCTTCTGAAACTGCAGATTTCCAAGAGGCCGACTTCTGTCAACAGCATCAGGAGGGGTGGGTAAAAGGCAGCTCTCCAGATGTTGTTGCAGCAGACCACTTGGAAGCAAATGCTGGAGCCATCTGGGAGGGATGGAAATGCAGGCCCTCCACGCCACTCAACTTCAGTCTAGCCGAGTGCAATCTCATTAACCAGGGAAACTGGAAGGAGTCGGGCATCCCGCCCTACACGAGTGCGCGCGCGCACACACACACACACACTTAGACACACACAGGCACACACACACTTTGCCCCAGGGCTGTCAAACGTGCTCCAAGAAACCTCTTACTCTGAACTCTCTCCACCTTCTGAGGCTGGAGTCGAGAAAACCACAGTGAAGAAGCGAGGTGGCAGCCCCCGTTTACCTTGATGGCTTTCTCCGTGTCGTTCTCTTCCGACATGGTTCGCAGGGTCCCCGCAGCCAAGAGCGGTGGAGGCTGCGCAGCTGCCGGGTCCCCTAGCAGCGGAGGGAGCAAAAGGCTGGGAGCTCGCGACCCTGGGCCTCGGGGAGTCGGGCAGCAGCCGCCAGTGGGGACCGGCGGGGATGAGGGGCCAGGCGCCGGTTCGGCTTCGGCGGGTGGCTCTAGGCCGGCGGCGGCAGCGGCGGAGGCGGCGGCCCCTGGAGACAAACCTTTGTGCTGGGCCCCGCGCGGTCGCCTCCCGGCCTCATCCCCGGCCGGGGAAGCGGGCTCCCGGGGCAGGGTGAGGCGAGGAAGGCCTCGGCCCGAGGCTCTGTGCAAGGGCTTCGCGGGGACGCGGCTTAGGCCCGGGCTCGCCAGGTCCTGAACAGGAGCCTGCGCCTCCGCCTCCGCCGCCGGCACCGACCCGAAGCCGAGGCCGCCGCCGCCGCCACTGCTCCGGCCGCCGCCTCAGCGCCACACATCGCCGGGACACCCGCGCCGGGCAGCCCCGCCGGCTGCCCGCCGGCGCTGTGCCCAGCAGGTGCTCCGGGTCGCCCCTCTGGCCGCCGGGCTCCGTGACCCCAGGACTCCACGCGCCCCTCGCAGCCGTCCGCTGGGGTTTCCGAGCCACCCCGGACCCGCGCGAGTGACATGCAGGCACTCGCCTGGCCTCCTCAAGACGCGCCGCTCACTAGACAGGTCCCTGGGCCTTCCGCTGCGCCGGCGCCGCGCTAATGACGCAGGAGGCGGCCCAAGCGGACTGGGCCTGTGAAGGCTGTGGCTGGAAGGCAGTGTCTGCGAAAGTGTCGGGGCTATCCTTCCATCTCCTACTTCCAGAAACAACCTGTGCAAAGAGTGGCAGCTCATGACAAGGAGGGAACTGAGGCCTGAATGGGTCTCAGTTGATGCAAAGGAAGGAATTGTGCGTCCTATATAAGGGCAGCAATTGCTCCATTTACGGAACGTTAAGCTTCCTTCAATCTCTTTTCTCCCATTGCCTCCTTTTATCTTTTTGTGTTGTGAGGTAAGTCTGTTCTTATGCCCCATTTACAGATATGGTATCTGAGACCCAGGGCCGACTCTCTTGCGCACGGCGGAGAAGTGGTCGAGACAGAATTGGAACCTAGGTTTGTGGTCTTTATACCAGGAACCTGTCGAACGATCTTACAGGAGCTTTAGCTCATTACCTGTTGATTGTTCTTTTTTTGCTCACTTTATTTACTGAGCACCACTGCGCCGGGCTTCCCAGGCCCTAGAGAAACGAGAACATGGCATGGCACCTGCGCATGGACCTTTCTGGAGAAGTAAGGAGACAATAAACGGAATAATACAGTGTGGTGTTAAGAAGAAAATGAAAAGGATGCCGAGGTAAGAACAACCGGTTGGGGGGACTACTACTTGTTATATGATCAGGCCAGGTCTCTCAGGAGGTAACATTGAAACCGATACCTCTGAGGAAAGGAGAAAGAGTTCGCCTTTGGAAATCCGTGAAAGAGATTTGGGGGCAGAAGGAACAGCAAATGCAAAAGTCTTTAAGTGGAAATAAGTTAAAGGTGTTTAAAGAGCAGCAAGTATACTGATCACTGCTTGACCGGCATAGAAGCCAAGAGTGACACCAATTTTTTGCAAAAAGACTTTTTTGTGTATGGTCAACCAACAGGAGGCCAGGAGCTATAAGCTCCTATATCTTCCCAGCATTTTGGTACCTGGAATTTATAGGAAGGGAGAGGGGGCAAGCTATTTACTGATTGGATGAGGAGAGGGGGGAATTTGGGGGTTCTTTTGCTCAAGCTAAATGGTCAATATACTTCTTCATAGGTGGCATGTTTGTTTTCAGGGGTAGTTCCACATTCCAGGTGGGGGTTTTGACCAAATATGCTGCCTGGCTTCTTCTGTTTGTGTCCATTTTTTTGGAGGGGAGAAGAGGGTACCAGGGATTGAACCCAGGATTGCTTAACCACTGAACCAGATCCCCAGCCCTTTTTAAAGTTTTTTTTAAATTTTGAAACGGTATTGCTAAGTTGCTGAGGCTGGCTTTGAACTTGCAATCATCCTGCCTCAGGCTCCTGTGTCAGTGGGGTTACAGAAGTGCCCCCCTGTATCTGTTTTTTTGTTGTTGTTGTTTTTTATACTGGGGATTGAACTCAAGGGTACTCGGCCATGAGCCACATCCCCAGCCCTATTTTGTTTTTTATTTTATTTTATTTAGAGACAGGGTCGCTTTTGCTGAGGTGGGTTTTTAACTTCACCATCCTCCTGCCTCAGCCTCAGGATTATGGGCATGTTCCACCACACCCAGCTTGTGTCCATTCTTGAAAAGCCAGTTTCAAGGAGTCCTTGAGTGAATTCTGGAGGGTTTTCCTGAAAGACAGGCACTAGGTTATTTAAGGAATTCATGCCCAGATGTGTTCAGGCCTTAACTGGTTTTACAAGAACAACATTGTAGCTGGAGTAGAGCCAGTAAAAGGAGAGTGATGAAGGATGATGGTAAAGAGGTGGGCAGGGGCTGCTTTGCATTAGGATTTTATTTTGGATTTTATTCTAAATCACTGGAAAGTTTTAAACTAGAGATTAATGTGATCAGACTTATGTTTTAAAATATCTCTGAGCCATATAGAGAATAGAATTTTGGCAGTTAAGTTGGAAGCATAAAGAGCTATAGGCTGTTGGAATAATCCAAATGAGAGGTCTTTATGATGTTTGAAGAAGGTGGTGGCAGTTAAGTTGGAGAGAGAAGGTAGATTTAAGATATATTTTGGAGATAGTATTGACAGGACTTCCAGAAAAATTAGATGGGGAAGGTGAGGAAAAGAAATGAGTTAAGGGTAATTTCCATGTGCTTGGCTTAATGATGGATGGATGGATGGATCATGAAGTTTCCTGAAAGACTTGATGGGGGTGAGGGTGAGCAATCCAGAGTTCTTTACTTTCTAGGTTAATTTGAAGTTCTTGTGAGTTATACCAGAGGATAAATCAAATAAGTAATTGAATATTGTGTGTAGAAGAGTTGTCCATCTAAATTATTGTTCTCTTTGTTGGCCATCCACCTACACTGTATTCCTCAGCCCTCATGATAAGTGTAGACCTGTGCCTGTGTGCTTCCAATGAAAAGTAAATAGAAGAGGTGTGCACATGTTCCAGGCCTGGCTCATAACAACCTTCAACAGGTGCTCCTCTAGCCTCTTTCTCTGCCAGCTGGAAGCAAATAACCACCAGATTCTGGAAAAGACAAAACTCCTCAAGACTGAAGATTCCTGAGTGGAGAACCTATCTCGCCAACCTGCATGTCCACTCAGAACTGTTATTTTCAAAGGAAAAAAAAAACTAATAATAATAATCTTCTGTGGTGTTGAGGTTTTTATTTAATTCGACTCTTTTTGTTATAGCAGCTTTGCCTATCCTGCCTAATGTGAATAAGAACAGTGAACTTTAGGAGAAAATTTCTAAGTGACTTCAATTGACATTATTCATAACAGGAAATAGAAGATGGCCTTGAATCACTCGCTCATTCCAGAAGGAATTTTCAGATTCCTGCCTGTGCCAGGCACTGTGCTACATAATTAATACATAAGGTGAATATAAACCCTCAAGCAGAGCTTAGTCTAGCTGCGCAACTTACTGATTTATTTGCACCTGCTTTTCCTCTACTAGAAACTCCACTTTTCTCTGCCAAAACACACAGCCCAATTTCTACTCTTTCTTCAGCCTCATTCTGAATACTGATTTTTTTTCCAGACATACCTAGCCTTTACCTTTCTTTCCCAGTATAAATCAGATGTTTCTATTTTAATCTCATAACTTATTTCCTTGTGCTTATCACAATTTTTATTGATATATTTGTTTTTTAATGTTTAGTGACCTTCTCTTCCACTAGATTGTGAATAATATCAACAGGGAAAGAATCTTATCTGTCTTATTTGTCATATCTCCAACACCCAGCCCATTGCAGGTACTTAATATTTGTTTAAGTACTCAGTGAATGGAGAAGGCAGAGCCCAAAGGAAGGAGAGGTTTTCTTTCACTGAAGTTCATTCACTTTTTTCTTATTAGGTGACTGGTAGGCAGCCAATACCCTCCCGTGATATTCATTTCCTGGTGTAATTTCCTCATCATGCATGTGGACTGGTTCTAAGTGGCTTGCTTTTAGTGCTTAGGTATCATGTCCAAGATTAGTTTACAGGAAGACTATGGCTTCTATCTTTTGTCTTCAGTATTCTTTCTTTCTTTCTTATTTGCTCTGAGGGAACCCAGCTCACCTATGCACTACAGTTTTGTTTTGTACTGGAGATTGGACCCTGGGGTACTCTATCACTGAGCTACACCAATAGCCCTTTTTTATTTATTTTATGACAGGCTCTTGCTAAGTTGCTAAGGCTGGCTTCAAACTTGTGATCCTCTTGTGTCAGCCTCCTTGGTCTCTGAGATTACAGGTATGCACCATCTCACCCAATCTGTGAGCTGCATTAGTAGTTTCCTAAGGCTGCTATGACAAATTATCACAAAGTGGTGCCTTAAAACAGCACTGTTTTAGAAGCTAGAAGTCTAAAATTGAGGTGTTGACAGAGCCATGCTCCCTTTAAGGAAGACTTCTTCCCTCTGGTGACTCCAGGCAATCTTTGGCATTCTCTGGCTTGTTGCTGCAATCTCTGTCTCTCTCTCTGCTTGGTATTCTTTGTTTTTCTCTCTATGTCTCTTTTTTTTTTTTTAAAGAGAGAGGTGAGAGAGAGAGAGAATTTTTGATATTTATTTTTTAGTTTTTTCGGCAGACACAACATCTTTGTTTGTATGTGGTGCTGAGGTTCGAACCCGGGCCGCACGCATGCCAGGCGAGCGCGCTACCGCTTGAGCCACATCCCCAGCCCCTCTATGTCTCTTTTTATAAGGATACCAGTCATTGGATTTAAGGCCCACCTTAGTTAAGTATGATGTCAAATTAATCACAGCTGGAAATACCCAGTTTACAAATAGAATCATATTCTGAGTTTCTGGGTAGACATGAATTTAGGGACAATATTTTCAGTCTACCAGTGTTGCCCTGTGGAAGGGCCCACCAGCTGCCAGAGAACCAGTGGCCTGCCCACTAGCCAGGTGAGTGAGCTTAGAAAGGACCCTGCCTCAGTTCAGCCTTTGGGGATTGTGGCCAAATGGGAGACCCTGAGCCAGAAGATCTAGCTAAGCCCTGCCCAGTTTCCCCCTCACCCACAGAAACAGATTAAAAATGGTCATTTCAGGGTTGGGGATATAGCTAAGTGGCAAGTGCTTGCTGGCACGTGCAAGGCCCAAGGTTCAATCCTCAGCAACAACAAAGTTGTTTTACAGTTTAAATTTGGGGGTAACTTGCCATGCAATATATAATTTGGTACCTAGAAATGGTAATATCATAACAACCCCCTGAAATATGGAAGTTTTGGAACCAGGTGGTAGACAGAGACTGGACAGGTTTTTGAGGACTATATTAGAGAAAACCTGAATTCTTTTGGACAAATCTGGTAAAAAATAAGGATACTGCCAGTAAGTAAGATGTTTTTGCAAACTGGAGGAAAAATCACTGTGTGGTTTCTTCTGCTTATAATAAAATGTGAAAAGATAATTTGTGAGGATCATTTCACAACAAAAAACTGGGACTTGATAGTTTTTGATCTTCAGCAAAGATCAAAATCAGCATTGCACATAAAATGGGTCTCTCTTGCTTAGCTCAGGTTGCTGAAACAAAATACCATAGACTGGGTGGCTAACACAACAGACATTTATTATAGGTCTGGAGACTGGGAAGTTCAAGAACAAGGTCCCAATAGATTTGGTTCCTGGTGAGGACCCACTTCCTGGCTTGCAGATAGATGGCTACCTTCTCACTGTGTCCTCCCAGAGACCTCTGCATTCTCTTACTTTCTTACAAGGGCTCTAATCCCATCACTGGGACCCACCCTCATGACTTCATATAAACCCAATTACCTATCAAGAGGTCCCACCCCTAAATATCATCACATTGGAGATTAGAGCTTCAACATGCATTTGGTGAAGGTTGGGGAGAGAGACACATTCATGTTACCATCTGGTCTGAAGCTAAAGTAGAAGATGCCACTGTATGATATTTTGTTAAGACATCAGAAAGATCAAAAGAGGTGCCTCAGAAAACTAGTCATGAAAAGTACCACTGAAGTATTCATGGTATGTCTCATAGATTTCAAATAATAAGGCCTCTTAATGTCACTGTCCCTCAAATCTCAGCAGGACTTCAAGTTAGAGAAGAACTTATTACAGGGAGGTTTGTGGATGTGCCTTTTGTATAATGCAATAAATCCCAAGAAGATTGCTGGGAATTCAGAATGTATTTGAAAATTATGTTTGGACTCTTGACTGAGGGATCGACAGTATAGATAAGTAGAAATTATAATTCTACTGTCAGGAAGCAAGCTAAGAACTAAATTGCAAATGTGGTTCCCCATCCCACCCATACTTCCTATACTGGGGACTGAACCAGGGGCATGCTACCACTGAGCTACACCCTCATCCCTTTTTCTTTCTTTTTTTTTTTTTTAATATTTTTAGTTGTCAATAGACCTTTATTTTATTAATTTACATGAGGCTGAGAATCGAACCCACTGCCTCACACATGCTAGGCAAGCAAGCGCTCTACCACTGAGCCACAACCCCAGCCCCTCACCCTTTTTCTTTTTTGTCTTGAGACAGGTTCTTGCTGTGTTGCTCACTCTGGCTTCTGATTTGCTATCCTCTTGTCACAGCCTCTCAAGCAGCTAGGATCATAGGCATGTGCCACTGCACTAGGCCAAATGTGCTTTTTTTAATGAAAAAAGTATCACTCAGTGGAGCCAGGAACTATTTTTCTTAGATCTTGAGAACTAATCATGGAACTTCCAACATTTGTCCAGTTGGATTCCAGAATCACTATGGACCAGCGACTCCTTTGTACCTCTTTTTGAATAAGAATATCTGTAGCTGTTGCCTGTATCAGAGAAACAGAACCAGCTGGCTATTGGTGTAGCCTATAGATAGATCAATAGATAAGAACAGATTTATTATGGGGATTGGCTTGTGCAATTATTAAGGTAAGAATTCCTAAGACAATGCCGTCTGCACACTGGAGTACCAGAAAAGATGCTAGTCAAAGTCCCAGAGTCTGAAGGCCTGAGAACCAGGAGTGCCAATATCCAAGGGCAGGAGAAGATGGATGTCCCAGGTCAAGAAAGGAGCAAATTCACCCTTCTTCCACTTTTTTGTTCTATCAGGGCCTTCAGTGGATTGGATGTTGCCCACCTTCATTGGTGAGGGTAATTTTTACTCAGAAAACACTTTCACAGATACACCCAGAAATAATGTTTTACTAGCTAATCTCTTCTTCCCCAGTCAAGCTGACACAAGATTAACCATCATATCACCCCAGGCCTGTTGTATGTTGAATGTGTAGGGGACAAATAATTTGTAATCTTATTTTCACAAGACAAATCTTAATTGTCCTGGTGAAAATGTATTTAAGGAACTGTACTCAATGAGGTTCCATCTAGACTTGAGTTGGTGTTGAAATTCTGGACTTCTAGCTGGTACTATGATAGGATGAAGCTTTTGAGGACCTTCAGAGGGTGAGAGTGTGCTTTGTCTGTGAAGAGGACAGATCACTTGCTCCAAAAGAACAGAGTGTAGGTGGCCTCTACAATGGCTCCTGGTGATTCTTTCTTCGTGCTTTTCATACTCTCCACCCCTTGAGCATGAACGGGAGCCAGTGAGTCACTGGAAAGACTGCAGTGTGATGGAATATCATTTCCAAAGTTAATCACTTCTAAATATTGTGGTTTCCCTTTTGGGCTCATTCTCTTGCTTAACTTCTCTCAGTGAAGGCAGCTGCCGTATGGTGAGCTGCCTCACAGAGGAGCCCAGGTGGTAAAGAGCTGATGTTTTTGGTCAGCGGCCTGTGAGGACCTGCCATCTGCCAAATAGCTATGTTCATGAGCTTGGAAGTGGATATTACCCCAGTAGGAGGAGTGGGAAACCCTGACCAACACCTTGATTATAGTTTCCTCAGAAGTCTTGAGCACCGAGCAAGGCAGCAATAGATGTCTGACCCACAGAAATTGAGATAACAAATATGGACTGCTTGGAGCTGCTGTTCATGGTCATTTGTTATACAGCAATAGATAGCTAATATAGATGGTTTAAAAATAAATAAATAAATAAAGGAAAAGAGGCCTGCAGGAGAGAGGTCACAGAGGCCTGAACTAAATGGCTGCTGCAGATAAGGAGTAAACAGATCAGAAGTCTGTTTGTAGGTGGAATCAGCAGGGGCTGGTGATGGCTTACTTGTGGAAAGAAGTGGGGAGACTATC